CCTGTTTTCGGGGAGAACCCAAATTAGCTTCATTTGGGGACTTGAGATGAATGGATTAGCATCTTTAATCATTGTTTTGAGATTGAAAACCCTTGGAATGATATTTTGAAACATGAAAATGGATTAGGGCACACTAATTGAAAACCCTGGTATCTAATTGAGATTGGATTGCTATAGGAATGAGAATTAATCATAAAGTATTGTCTTGCATCAGTAATCGCTGAGGATTCAGACTGAAGGGGCTTGAGGAAGCGGAAGCCGGAAAAGGCAACACTAGTCCCAGGTTTGATAGTGCGAGGTAGGATTTCTATCCCTTTTCCTTGTGAGCCTGTTTTCAAAAGGATTTTGGCCTTGAAAATGTTTTAAAGAAAGGGATTGGCTTGTGAAAGAAAAATGCTTTGAAAACCATGGCTTGTTTAGTCATGGAACCTCATGGCTTGCCCAGTCATGGGGCCCGCGGCTTGAGTAGTTCGTGGGGTCATAAAAACGATTTCAGAAAAGTTAATGAATGATTTCTTAAGCAAAGAGATTTTGCGAACTTGTAATAGAGTCTATAGCTGTAAGCCTAGATAGGATGCGGAGAGTGCATCCTCGGGGGCAGAACCCGAAACTCGGTCCGGGTAGGCGAGGCACTTGGTTAGGTAAGTAATTTGTACTAATTACTTACTGAAGCCTGTAATATGGAGATTTTACATTTATTTCCTTTGAGAAAAAGGATGTGAGGTTCCAACTGTCTGTTGGAACTAAATGTCTATTTATTTACGTACCCATTTATTTATTCACTTGCATTTTACCTATTTATTTATTTTACGTCTTTGTAAATAACATCCTACTGGGCCTTTTGCTCACATTTTATGTTTTAAATGTATTAAACCCCTCTCAGGAGATTCTAGGAGCGGTGCACAGTAGCTGAATATTTGCTACGGAGCAGCTGAGTTGTGCTGTTGTTGAGATCAAGTGAGGATTGTGTTCATCATCTTGGATAAATGTAAGGAATTTGAGAAATTCTATAAACTTATGAAATATTTGGATTAACTAGACTGTGGTTGATGTCTGTTGTAATGATTATTTACATGAGCATGTATGTACGATACTGTATGTCCTGTGGGGTGGAGCCCTGTGTGTCAGAGGCTCCGGAATTCTGTAATTTATTTATATTTTAATACAATTGAGTGGGGCTCGTCTGGGAATCTGTTTTATTAACCCATAATCGAGCTCCACGTCACCCACCCCATTTGGGGGGCGTGACACCAACAAACACGCATTTTGTAGCTCGAGGCTCAAGTTTTCAACGATTATGGTTATGAATGTGAACAAATGCAGTACAGCTAAATATCTTTAAGGATAAAGAGGAAGATAGCTTATTTGTTGGATAAAAGTTATGAAAAGCCTCAAGAGGTGTTTTAAAATTCAAAACTTTATTAGGCATCTGATTTATGAGATATGTCGCAGTAAGAACTGCTTCTCCCTAAAGATATTTAGGTACCTTATTGGTAAA